CGCGGCAGCTCGAATTGATTTTGTCTTCGTTCTTTCAGAACGAAGCAAAGCTGACTACCCTCAGCATCAAAGCCGACAGCGCCGTAGAACTAGAGCCAAAGCTGTCGGAAATGAGCCTACTTTGGCTCTAGCAGATGGCCCTCCAGACGACACCTGGGGCCCATGGGGTATTCCCAAAACCCCTAAGATAGAGCTGCCAGATGCAGAGGAACCTGAAGAAGAGAACCTCATGGCAGCAGCGGCAGCCTTTTCAAATGCTTCGGCTGCAAGCTGATTTAATTCGTAAAGCAAGAAAAGATTTTGCATGCTGATTGTGCGCATTGCTCAATGTTGCAATATCCTGCATATGCAAATCTATGCCAGGATAGACGATCACATGAGAAAGTCTTTGGCTCCCATGATGTCCGGTGTGTGCAATAGCCATGGATCAAGCTGTGGAGCATCAGCAGCCTTCACCTGTTTCATCGACGTCTTCGTGGCATTCTGCGTTTGATCCTCCTGAAGAAGCTCGGTCTTCCCGTGAGCAGAAGAAAAGTCCCAAAGACGAAGCTTCTCGCAAGAAAAGCAAGAAGCACAAGTCCAAGAAATCCAAAAAGATTTCAAAAGACAAGGACCAAGCAGTTGTGAAACATTCTGCTGCTGCCAAAGAAGAAATAACCACCTCCCGTGTTGTGAAAACCGGTGACGTGGTACTTGATGCCATTTGCAACAGCAAACCTGTTTCACCCCCTACTGGAGCCAACACCACGGTATACAAAGGTAGAGGAGTAGCCAAAATGATGGCTCGAAGCGGTTTTAGGTGTACATGCCATTATGTGCGTGCCCATCTTTGTCCAGTCAGGCTCATTGCCGAAGAATTTGGTGATGGGACGTCCTTTCACACTCCTGAGTAAAGCCCTTTACAGCTTTCTCGGCTTCATTCAGTAAACCATTCTCTCCAAAAGCCACATGTCGGCCCTTTCGTTGGTTATGTCCGAACCTGCCCTTGTGGCGAGAGTGGTATCTTTTGTCTCATCGCGAAAGCATATCTTTTTCTACTTCAATCCGGCCTTTTGGACCGAAGAAGATCGCGATCAACTTGAGCTTGATGATTCTTCTGAATCAGATGAGCCCTATCCGGACAGTGCGGCTCGTGTCATTTCTGATCGCATACGTCAACGCTTTCGCTCTGTGCTACCTGCTGATACTTCACTCGCGCTTGATAGCCTCAATTATGGTTCCATTCGCGAACATTTTGTACAAAGGGAGTGCCCAGCACAGCCACCTGGTTGGCCCAATGTACTTTATGTACCTGTGATGTACAACTCGGCACCAATGCCACAGACCACCTTTTATGGTGCGGTAAACCGAGTCTTCCTTCGTTCTGTTCTTTATCTCTATGAAGGGACATTGTACATTGCTTTTCGGCAATTGCTGCTGCAATCTCAGCAGAAAGCCATCTTTTTCGATTGGCTCTGCACCGGTCGCGAAGATCGTTTTCGCGTGAGCTCTACTCTCATCGCCGATTTGAGAGTTTTCCGTGTCATTTCACCTCTGGCTGACATGCCATAATCATCTTGCTGCAGAACAGCATCGCAGTCTCTAATTGCTCTTTGTTTCTGATGCTCTGCTTGTCGCTGAAGTTTATCCGTAGTTTGTGGCTTTCAGTGGAGATTAGTAAGTACATCATGTCGGACCGGAGCAGATCTCGTTCTCCGCAGATTTCGTCGCGTTTCTACTGGTCTAAAAGCACGGCAGCTGATGGTCGAGACCGTTGGTGGAAAACGTGGTTCCCCGCCACACAGCAGTGGATCCAGACTCGCCTTACTGCGGACAGTTTGTGGAGCTCAAGCTCACACCTGCCTGAGACCACCAATGCTCCCTCCAATCGCACTGATTGCTCTGAGTCTCCTCGGAAAAGGAAGAGGAGCACTTCTCCGTGAAAGCCAATTTTTGCATGGTTAATTCGATCTTGCCAGCATCCATGCTGGCCATCATCTTCTTTAACAGTATGTAAGGCTGCGTACCCATCAATGGGACTCGCCACCACCATTGTTCTGTGCTGTACAACATCGAGAGGCCGTTAGTGTAAAAGGTGCACTGCTGTCTGTCAACACTGTGATGCCATCAAAGGCTACCCCGCTTGGCGGGGTGTGTGTGTGTGTGTGGAACACCTGTTTGCCAAGGTTTGCTGATATGCATTATTTTTGCAGGGGGGCAGTGAGCCTTCTATCATCCACTGCCCAACGAAGACGGTGATAGAAGTGCTGTGAAGCAATCTGGGACGCCAGATTGTGTACCTGCATTGGAATGGCACTGGGGCCAAGCCATAAACCCCATATGAGTGCAGTTTTGTTTAAGGCCAGAGGTAAAGCCTAAATCCTCTTAAAGTCCTACACCTCTGAATGATTCGACTGAAATTCTCGAGAGTTACATTCAGTCCAGAGGGAGGATTGCACGAGTGTGTGTGTGTGTGTGTGTGTGTCTGTGTGTGTGTGTGTGTGGGTGTGTGTGTGTGTGT